CAACAAGACTTTATAGTTCATAGCAGAGCTCAGATAACACTGTTTCAAAGAAGCTCTGACAGCCGGAATGAATTTGCCTCTTCCTTTATATGCTCACCTCGTGCTCTTCATAGAACTGATAATAACTGAATCAGCACGTGATTTATTTGATAACATGACCCTCCTCCTAGAATGTAAACCCCATGAGGGCTGAACTTATGGCTGCCTTGCTCAGACTTATAAACCACAGCACCTGGCAGAAAGTTTGAACACAGCGGGTTTTCAATAAATGGGGTTACAATATGGCCAGAAAAGTGAATTGTTTAATGATAGTGAGGATGATGAAGACAAATTGCCTTCAGGGTAACCCTGGAGTCCCTGGTAATGTTCTTAATGTGTTGATACAGTTTGTAAAACCTAAATGTACAATATTCAATCTGGCTTCTGTGTAACAAGTTTTTCTTCAATTCCTCTAGTAGGTAACTTATTTTGAAATCCAGGATTAAAGGGGCGCCTGCATGGCTCAGTTGGTTGGGTGGCCGACTTCAGCTCAGGTCATGATCTCGAGCCCCGCGTCCGGCTCTGTACCAACAGCTCGGAACCTGGAGCGTGTTTCAGATTCTATGTCTTCCGCTCTCTCTGATCCTCCCTCGCTCACACTGTGTGTCTCTCAAAAATAAATAAACATTAAAAAAGAAAAAAAGAAATCTAGCACTAAAGAGCTAAAATATAGGACTGCCAAAAGTTCAGAGATAACAGAAATAAAACCAGTGAATCACTGAAGTAGTAATTAGTAAAAGTTTATTGTGCACACACCAAAAAGTTTGCCTACCAGCAGCACTCAACCCAAAACATGGAAGGCAGCTTAGGGGTATATTGTGATAAAGCAGTTTGTTTAGCAAGAAGACAGACTATTTATTCTTTACAGTGATTGGCTATAATATTAGAATTTTCTTAAAAGATAGGGAATTGGTCAGTAGTTACCCATATCCATCTTGAGAAATAGCTTAGATTTTGCTTATGGTTTTCAGAGGCATAAGCAAGAATTGACCCATTAAGGTTAGCCTTGCAAAATAAGCTAAATTAGGGTTTGTTTGTATGACTAAACTGATTTTGTCTGCTCAGGGAATTTTCAAAGCTGGTCTCCATTTGTTTTTTAACAAGGGCAAAATCACAACTCTTTATTAACGATTCATTAGTTTTTCTTCTATGTTGCATTCGATGGATTATACAATTAGGGGACTTTTCAATGAAGCTAAAGTTTGCTTGCATAATAAATTCCTTAGTGAAGATAAAATTCAATCATCAGACACATTCAGAAGCATTGAACTAAATCTCTATGGAAATGGGATTTCCTCTGGGCAAAATATTTATACATGACATGCATATGTTAACTGTGACTCATATATGAATGCAGAGAACTTACCCTAAGCCTGATCTGACACAGACGAAGGAACAAAAATGCATTTTCTAGTATTTCTGCATGCAGGGAAAGGGATCAATCACATACTTCGTTTTCGTATTGTGTACGTTGGCTTGACCTTATGAGCCTTTGAATTTGATGGACAGGAGCAGTAACACATCAAAAAACATAATAAGGCTCTCTTAAAACAACAGTAATAGCAGCAAAAGAAAATAATTCCATCAATTCTCTGTTCTAAGGTAAAAAAAAAAAAGTGAGAGTATGTAAAACTAGGCTTGTTACCCAGTTTTTAAAAATCTCTGCACTCACAAATTATGTATTGGTTCAGTTTGCATTTTCATGTCCTCTGCCTTCTAACCCTTTTTGCTTATTGCAAGAGAGAGTGTAGAAATAATATTCTCTCATATCTTTTTCTTTCTTTATCTGAAATTTTTAAAAGGTAAGGATATAAGCCACCAAAATGATATTGGACTGTAAACCTAACTTTTATTAGGCTTGCCTTTTTTATCTAGGGTTTGAAGTCTATGGATTTGCGCTTGATTATATGTAGTGTAAGACCAATGCTCTCAGCATATAGGGCCATAGGTGAGACACAAACACTATAGGTTAGTCTACACAAATAACATTAAGCTGGTTTATTACAGAGGACAGTTTAAGAAGGCAAAATTTTGAAATATAAATGACAAACTGATTTTGTTAAGAATTCAGGCATGAACAAAAAACTTAAGTCGTTTTACATGATTAGTTCTTAATTTAGCTAAGAATGTTTTAAGAAGCTGCACATCTTTGCCTTGAGTTCCTTAAGATTAACTGAAGTGACCCATACTAAGTAGCTAATGTGGGAGGAATTCTAATTTTGAGTGCTGGAAACTGACAAATTAAAAAATTTTTAATGTTTATTAATTTTTGAGAGAAGAGTGCGAGCAGGGGGTTAGTGCAGAGGGAGACACAGAATCCGAAACAGGCTGTAGGCTCTGAGCTCTCAGATGAGCCGAAATCAGAGGCTTAACCAATTGAGCCACCCAAGTGCCCCTGGAAGATGCCAAATTTTAAATCCACTTGTGTGCTTACATAACCAGAATGGATCATTGGTCACTATAAAATATTGGTGATGTGACTACCATTATGATTTTCCTTCCTCATCTCAACAAACACTGAAGGAGGCTAACTTTTGTCTAAGGGTTGGATTGGCAACTTACAGTTAAAAATGGTGCATTTTTCCTATTCTCCATCAATAGAAAAGCCAGGAAAAAAAATAAAATGTAGAGTTTTAAAAACCCATTTCAGATGAAATTAAAACAAATAAACCAAAAGCTCTGCCACAGTCTCAATCTCAACTTTAAACTCTTTGAAAGTCAAACAGGACTTTCAAACAGGTTTCTCCAAAACCATCTGGAAAGAAATGCTTAAGCATACATTAACTAGAGCAATGGAGATACATGAGCATGGGTGGGGTATTGGAGATAAAAGAATGTTTCAACAGAAAACTGGTTTGTATTGTGAAATGGAGAGAAACTGAATTTGTAGATCAGCTCCTACTCTGGAGTCTATCAGTGAAGAACGGACCCACAAATATATGGCCAAATAATTTTTGACAAAGCAGGAAAGAGTATACAATAGAAAAAAGTCTCTTTAGGAAATGGTGCTGGGGGAACTTGACAGCAACATGTAGATAAATGGAACTGGACCACTTTCTTACACCACACACAAAAATAAATTCAAAATGGATGAAAGACCAAAATGTGAGACAGGAAACCATCAAAATCCTACAGGAGAAAACAGGCAGCAACCTCTTTGACCTTGGTCACAGCAACTCCTTCCTAGACGTGTCTCCGGAGGCAAGGGAAGTGAAAACAAAAATGAACTATGGGGACCTCATCAAGATAAAAAGCTTCCGCACAATGAAGGCAACAATAAACAAAACTAAAAGGCAACCGACAGAATGGGAGAAGATATTTGCAAATGACATATCAGATAAAGGTTAGTATCCAAAATCTATAAAGAACTTACCAAACTCAACACCCAAAAAACAAATAATCCAGTGAAGAAATGGACAGAAGACATGAATAGATATTTTTCCAAAGAACACATCCAGATGGCAAACAGACACATGAGAAGATGCTCAACATCGCTCATCATCAGGGAAATACAAATCAAAACTACAGTAAGATACCACCTCACACCAGTCAGAATGGCTAAATTAACAACTCAGGAAACAATAAATGTTGGTAAGGATATGGAGAAAGGAGAACCCTATTGCACTGTTGGTGGGAGTGTAGCCACTCTGGAAAACAGTGTGGAGGTTCCTCAAAAAATTAAAATTAGAACTACCCTACAACCCAGCAATTGCACTACCAGGAATTTATCCAAAGTATAAATTTTATCCAAAGGACACAAAAATGCTGATTTGAAAGGGCACATGCACCCCAATGTTTATAGCAGCGCTATCAATAATAGCCAAAGTATTGAAACAGCCCAAATGTCCATCAACTGATGGATGAATGATTAAGAAGACGTGGTATATATATACAATGGAATACTGCTCAGTGACCAGAAAGAATAAAATCTTGCCATTTGCAACAATGTGGATGGAACTGGAGGGTATTATGCTAAGTGAAATCAGTCAGTCAGAGAAAGACAGATATCATGTGATTTCACTAATATGTGGAATTTGAGAAATGTAAGAGATGACTAGGCGAAGGGAAGGAAAAATAAGATAAAAACAGAGAGGGAGGCAAACTATAGGAGACTCTTAAGTACAGAGAATAAAATGAGGGTCCTTAACCCATTATAGGAAAAATAAGCCTAAATCAGATCTCCCAGTTCTCCCAGGTAGAAGAGTGTGTTAAATGGGTGAGGGCATTAAGAAAGGCACTTTTTGTGAGGAACACTGGGTGTCCTGTGTAAGGGATGAACCACTGGGTTCTACTCCTAAAACCAAGACTACACTGTATGTTAATGAACTTGAGAAAAGAAAAAAGAGAAAACAATACCCAAAGTGAACTAGGTGAAAGAAATGGTGATAGGACAAAAATATTTCATTTTCGTCATAGTTTTATTTAAAAAAGACCTTGCAAATTTCAGACAGCATATTGCAAAAATATATTAACAATTACTTTATGTCAGATAACATTGGCTTTAACAAACCAGCAGATTTTTTTTAATAAGCATGGCAAAAAAATGTGAAAATAAAATACCCACCCTTGGGAAAGCATGGAGTATAGTTTCCTATAAACTATTCTATCTATCAGTGGAGCCTTATTATCACCAGACCCACCTAAGATTTGCTGAAGCACATTATCTTCCAGGTACGTGTGCCTTCTGCCTTTTATAACAGGTGCTTTATATACCAATAACTAAATTACAGAGTAAAACACCCATCCTTCCTTTCTCATTGGTAGTCAGTGCTTCCTCCTTGTGCTACGCCTAATGGAGAAGTGAGTGAAGGCTGGTGGTCAGTGGTCCCATGCTGGCTGGAACATACAGTTCCCTGCCCCTGGAGTGCTCAGCACCCCCACTTGTACAATGTGACTATTGCCCTTGAACGAATGTTCCCTATTTTCTTATAGGAGGCAAATATGAGTACAGTTTTGAAGGATAAAGTATAGGCACAACTTTATTCAATACTTTATAGTATGCTACAAATATGTACAATTTCAGTAATAAATTAAGAATAAATGAATGAAACAACTATGAAGACAGTTCATAGACTCCATGTTACTCAATGACATTTTTCTGCCTTCATTCCTGAAAGTTCGTGCGATCCAAGATTCCGGATCATCCTCTTGGTTAAAAAATCTGTTTGGCAGCACAAGTGAAATGCAGAGTTTCACTGCCTCTAAGCCACAGGAAGATCTTTGTTAACAGCAGAAGTGCTGAAGGAGATCAATGACAATTAAGAAGAGTTGATGAACATTTGTACAATATGTACAAAACTCTGCAGAAACTCTTGAATGCTTTTTTCCTCCAGTTCCTCGCATTCTTTGCATCCCGTTTCAGTTATATTCTGGCAAATGAAAAGAAAGGATTAGATTGCAAAGACTACTATATCCCCTTAGTGGGAATATCACATCACTTGAACCATACGGTCAGGTCTTGAGACATAAAAACTTCGGCATATTAATACATTAGGAAGAACCACTGGAAGAGAGAACTGGGAGATCCGTTTAGGCTTATTTTTCCTATAATGGGTTAAAGACATTGGAAAAATAAGCCACATCTATCGGACCATGGACTTCCTGCCTCAAGCCCTTCAGTATAAAGACCATGCCTCCCTGCATGGGACACAGGCCCTCCTTGAGGGGTTCTTCACCTGTTTTCTCACCTGTCCCCATCACCACACATGACATAACCTAAGTACAATGAGCTCATACCTTTACCCTCACATACACATCATGCTATTAGGTGCCCTACTGCCTTTGCTTTTCTCTCTGCATATTCCACACTTACTATTTTAGCTACCACTACTCAGGCTAAGATTACTCAGGTGCCATCTCCATTAGGAAGGCATTCCTGATCCTAAGAGTTTGCCAGCCTGGTCGAAATGTTCCATCTCTACATTCTCAGAACTCTCCCTCATCTCTATCATATATTATATTGATATTAAGGTCCCGTATGCTTTTTATAACACTAGCTTATAGGATTTTCTAAGAGCACAAGGGCATACATTATTGTTTCCCTAGCATTTAGCATAGGGCTTAGCACATAGTATTCACCCAGTCATTGCTGGTTGAATTAAACTATTTAGGTGAATACCACAAGTTGTAATTCAAACACAGTTTCATGGATAACTAGAATATTCCAAATGTAGTAATCATAAGTAAACTATTTAGGGATCATCCAAACCATGAAAGCTGTACCAGCAAAAATCAAAATTAGATTTTGTATCCATTAAGTATTTGAAATGCAGATCCACCAGCATTTATCAAGCACATACTCTATGCCAGGGCCTGTCATATTATATCTAGCAGTGCCCTATTTGAAAATAATCGTGTCAGATAGCAAGGCAGAGATAGTGCACAGTGCATCTCAGTTGATGTAATCAATGAAATGCTCCACGTCCAGCTCTTCTGACTGCTCTGTCTTGCCCACTCTTTCTACTGCACGTGCAACACACCTCAGGCCATGCTGAGGGTGACTGTGAACATACCCCCTGAAGAATTCACCACTGATGCTGTTGTGAGTTACCTGTTGCACGGCTCGGTCTTTCTAACAATAACACAGAGATAACCTATCACAAGAGTATTTTAAACATCAGTATATTCACTTCATAAATAGATTAAGTGTCTAGGCTATGCCAGGCATTGTGACGGGAGGTGGCACACAGCTCTAACACGTGCATGCGAGCACACACACACACACACATACACACACACACACAGAAATGCCTGCCCCTTAGAAACTGACATTCTGGTAGGGAAAAGAAGACAATATCCATTAAGTAAAATGTCAGATAGTGGGGCATGCAGAGAAGGGGACAGAGCGTGGGGATGGGTTGCTCCTGTGAAGAGGTAACATCACTGAGAGGGTGACATTTAAGCAAAGACCTAAAGCAACCTGGCATTTTTAGGGAAGTTCAGGGTGTCCAGCCATACTCACTCCGACGGTCTTGGCACATTCCGCTGCCTCTGCCTAAACATACTTCCCCAGATACGAGGCTCATTCCCTCAGGTCTTTGCCAAATGTCAGCTGAGTAGGTAAACCTCTAAAGTAGAAACCCCAGCCTTCTTACCTGCTTTTTTGGCCATTGATTTAATAAATAATTGAATTATTATTCATTTCCTTTTGATTGCTTTATTTATGCTTTATGTTTTATTTATGCCCTTAACAGCAGACACCATGTGTGTTTTTTCACATCTATTATCCTAAAGGCCTAAAACTCAGCCCCAAAGTTATTTGTTAAATTCACGAATTATTATGATGCTTTCTTTGTTTGTGAAACTTCTTTCTATGCACTCTGCTTTGGCCACTAGTGTTTTGCCATGAAAGCCATTGTTTTTTTTTTTTTTACTTCAGGGCCTTTGCACAGCTCACCCTCAGGCCTGCTGTGGGAATCCCTTGCATTTGCCTCCTAGAGCCATACTGCTCATGGTGCATGGCACAGCCCAAATTCTACTTGAATTTTTTTTTTAATTTCTTTAATGTTTTATTTATTTCTGAGATAGAGAGACAGTGTGCACAGGGGAGGGTCAGAGAGAGAGGGAGATACAGAATCCGAAGCAGGTTCCAGGCTCTTAGCTAGCTGTCAGCACAGAGCCCGAAGCGGGGCTCGAACCCACCAACCGTGAGATCATGACCTGAGCTGAAGTTGGACGCTCAACCAACTGAGCCACCCAGGTGCCCCTCTACTTGAATTTTTAATATATTTATTAGTATCTTCTTGTGCCATTTATCCTTACAGTGGCTAAGAAGACATCCCCTGGAGAAAAGCCACTTGAGTATGAATCAGGCCCCCCATTTTACCAGTTGTGTGAATGGGAAGAAATGATTCAAGCCCTTGGTGCTCCAATTTTTTCAGCCTTAAAACAGAAACAAGGAGGGGTGCCTGGGCAGCTCAGTCGGTTAAGACTCTTGGACTCTTGGTCTCGTCTCAGGTCATGATCTCACAGTTCATGAGTTTGAGCCCCACATCAGGCTCTGCGCTGACAGCAGTGTGGAGCCTGCTTGGGATTTTGTCTCTCCTCCCTTCTTCCCCTTCCCCTCCTGCAGTCTCTCTCTCTCTCAGAATAAATAAATAAACTTAAAAAAAAAAACAAAACAGAAACAAGGGTTCAAAGCTTCAAAGAACAGTGTCTGGCATAGAGTAATAACTGAATAAATGTGAACTATTATTGATGCTGAACACTTAACTATGAAATTAGATTGATGTCTATCCACTGTACCTGGTGATAACCACCTTGTGGCCAATGACCTCACTGGTTCACTGCTTTCACTCTAGCACTAAAGTGCACTGCCTGGCATCATGCAGTAAATGTTTGTTGAATGAATAAATTGATAGACCAGTTTAGGACTGTGTGCACGCTAGTGATGGTGCCAGTTCTGAATGCCACTCTGCTGGCCTCACCCCCTCCCCCGGCTGCCTCTTTGGAGGCTCTGCTTGTTCATTATATCCAGCTAATGACTTCTCCCAGCCAAGACAGAAACATCCGGTGTAGCTCTGTATGACCATTGGGTAACTCACCCCATTGGAAGGTAAACCGCTGTTTGCTAGGATAATGATGTTTTCTACTGTTTCCTTAATGGTTTCATTTTTGGACTCAACCGAAATAACATGTAACTCCAGGAGAAAGCACTTCATCGCTGTTACTTTGCAATTGGGCTAAAAAAGAAAAGGAGAGAGAGAGAGAGAGTTAGAAAGAGTCACTTTGAGGGGCACCTGGGTGGCTTAGTCGGTTAAGCGTCCGACTTTCGCTTAGGTCATGATCTCGCGGTTCATGGGTTCGAGCCCCACATCGGGCTCTGTGCCAGCTCAGAGCCTGGAGCCTGTTTCAGTCTGTGACTCCCTCTCTCTCTGACCCTCCCCTGTTCACACTGTCTCTCTCCTAGAAATAAATAAAACATTTAAAAAAAAAAAAAGAAAAAGAAAGAGTCACTTTGAAAAAAAATTGTCTTTCCATTATTCATTTTTACATAGGCACAATTTTGATTTTTTTAAAAATGTTTTATTTATTCTAAGAGAGGGAGAGAGACAGCGTGAGCAGGGGAGGGTCAGAGAGAGAGGGAGACACAGAATCTGAAGCAGGCTTCAGACTCTGAGCTGTCAGCACAGAGCCCGACGTGGGGCTTAAACCCATGAACCGTGAGATCATGACCTGAGCCAAAGTTGGACGCTCAACCAACTGAGCCACCCAGGTGCCCCACAATTTTGATTTTTTTTAAAGTAAATCCAAATATTTTATAAAGAAACACAAACCCTCTAATAAGTTTTACACAAGAGGCAATTTTTTTGGCTTTGAAATCAAAACCAAGACAAATGGACAGTAAAACAATCTAAAAGAATGGCAATGGTATATAGAAGAAAGAACATAAAGCCAGAAAACATGGAAATAACAGGCAACTTTTTCTCACCGAGAACATCTCCTCTTTGTCAAAGGGTGATAATACCAACCTGAGACTCTCAAAACATGAGTATAGGTAGTCTGCTAAAAGAATTTTTAGAGTCAGATTGTACTGTTAACATTTAATACAGTGACAGCTGCTGGTTATGCTAGTTTCACAAGTCCCAAAGTTCCAGGGACAGAAGTAATTCTAAGAAATTTATTAGAAAAGTCAGCAGAGGACTGTTGCCCATTCACTGGCTGGTCACACCAGAAAGGTACCTTTTAGATACCACAAAAATATGTTTCCCACAACAGTTACTTTAACAAAATCCTCAGCTTAAAAGAAAAGAAGCATTAATGAACACTTGAAGATTTGACCATGAAATGTCTGACTTTATGTTCTCACTGCCTTGTACGGGCCTACAGGCACTTCTTGGATGCTTACTGAATGGATGAAGGAAGGAGGGAATACACCCATGTGCAGCTGCATATCCATATGCATACATCCATAGCAGCTGCTCAGGATTGAAAAGGTAAATACTGTCCCCACATGGGTAGGTAGGTAGGTAGATAAAATAATAAATGAAACTGACGTTCAGAAATGTTTAGTGACTCCTGAGGAAAGCAGCTAGGAAGTGGCTGAATCAGAGTTTACGTCTAAATTTCAACCTCAGCTTCTTTCTGTAAGCCATGAGTTACAAGCTTATCTTCTTGTAAAAAAGCAATCTCAGGATGCTGAGTTTGGGTGGTTAATTGACTGCTCTCTACCTTAAAGAAAAATGGAAAGCATCCTAAAGCCTAAGGAGGAAGACAATTTGTATGTGTAGTACCACTATCTAAATAGTTGATGAATATCTGTTTTTTCTAGTTTGTGGTGAAGACCTCTTCTCAAAGCTGAGAAAGGCTTCACAGAAGCAAAGTCTTCTATTTCAGAGAAGTTCTAACTGAGCAAACACTCGGAGTGGACTCACTGTTCTGCTTACACATGACATAGAGTTTGTTTTCCACGAGGTAAAGAAGTCAGGGATTTGTTTCTTGTGTTTTTAGTAGCCAACCCAGAGGGAAAAACCAGAAACATAGCTAAAATTACACATGCCTTAGGCAATGCCAGTGCATTAATGAAACAAGTTCAAGATCATTTTTTAATTCTGATAGGTTTTATGAATTGTGGTTATTTCTTTTCTCACATCAAGAGTAACCAGCCATAATTCCTTCTGACAATTGTAGAGATTCATGCAAAGTGTAGAACATGAGTGCATGTAAGCCATTTGTAGAAAATATAATTAAGGGTGGTAATACACTTCAGGACTGGACACAAGGGTTATGGTGGATAGCTTTAAATCGAATCTGTTAACCTGATTTTTGCATTTAATTGCATCATGATCTAACTGCATCGCAAAATACATATATATTTTGTTTGGCACTGATGGAAAAGGCTGTTTTATATTTTGATTTGGTAGCATTATGAAAATAGCACCTATATAAGCTCTTTGTCCCCAAGTGCCACAACCTCAACAATTACTTACAAAACGCATTGATCATATGTTTTTAGGACACAACAAAAGTTAGACTTAAAAACTATACATCCTTCAGTAAATTTATGAAAATATACTTCAACTTTTGAAAAGTGGAAAATATATTAAAAATATTCAAAAAAAAACCCTCTACTCACACGAACATCACTTTCAGTATACAAAGTGGCATCAATATGTATGGACTGAAAGAAAACAAAATTAGATAATATGAAAAATTATGACCTGCTTTAGATATAGTGAAAACAACTTACTGAACATTAAAACGTTTTAAATTACATTTTTAAATTTTGAGATAATTTCAGCTTCATATGCACTTGTAAGAGAAAATGCATAGAGATCCCATGCACCCTCTGCCATTCCCCTGATGGGAATATCCCAAATGCCATAGTACGATATCGTAACAAGGAAACTGATACTCATACAATCCACATACCTTGTTCAGATTTCACCAGTTCTACGTGCCCTAACGTAGTTATGTAGTTCCACTCAATTTTACCAGATGTGTAAATTCATGGAACCACCTCCAGTCAAGGTACAGAACTGTTCCATCACCTTTAAAATCCTCCTCCATGTCTACCATAGCCCGAACCACTTTTCTCCCTACACATTCACCCTTCACCTTTCTAATTCCTGGCACCCACTTCTCTCTTCTCCATTCCGGTATCATCTCAAGAATGTTATATATAAGTAGAATCATATAGTATACAACCTTTTGATCGGCCTTTTGAAAAAGTTAATAGACTATTCTTTGGGCAGTTGTAGTTCTGCTTTGAACATGAGCAGAAAGTACAGAGACTTCCCAAACTTCTTGTCTCCCTGCCACAGTTTCTCCTACTACTAATATTCGGCATTAGCGTGGTACATCTATTACAATTGATGGTATTACAATACCAATGCATTTGTAACAAGTTTATAGGTTACATTGGGATTCACTCTTGGTGTTGTATATTGTACGAGTTTTAACCAATATATAATAACATGTATCCACCGTTACAGTATCACACGAAATAGTTTCATTATCATAAAAATCACCTGTGCTCCCGCTAGTCATCTCTCCTTTTCCTCTGACACCTGGAAACCACTGATGTTTTTACTGTATCCATAGTTTTATCTCTTCCAGAATGTCATAGAGTTGGAACCACAGCATGTAGCCTTTTTAGATTGGCTTTTTTTTCTCTCAGTGATATGCTTTTAAGGTTTCTCCATGTCTTTTCATGTCTAGAAGCTCATTTCTTTTTATTGCTGAATAATATTCTATTATATGGATGTACCCCAGTTAGCTTATTCAGACTGGCTCTTATTCACACAGCATAATAATACTTTGGAGAGCCATCCAACTAGTTGTATCAGTAATTTTATTTCCTTTTATTTGCTCAGTATTGTTCCATGATTAATATATCACAGTTAATTCACCTGTTGAATGGCATTTGGGCTGTTTTCAATTTTTAGCTATTATAAATAAAGGTCTATGAACATTCATGTGTCTGTTTTTGTGTGGACAAAGGTTTTCATTTCTCTGATAGAAATGTTCAAGAGTGCAACTGCTGGATCACATGGCAAATGTATTGTCTGTTTTATAAAAAAAACAGCCAAACTATTTTAGAGTAGCTGTAAAATTTTACATTCTTGTCAGACATATGTGTGATCCAGTTTCTCCATATCCTTGCCAGCATTTAGCATTATTACCTTTAATTTAAATATTCTTAGAAGTGCATAGTGATATGTCATTGTAGTTTTAATTTGCATCCTCTAAATAATGTGCAGCAATTTATTGGTACTTTCTTCTAGAAGTCTTGGGGTGATTTATAATTTCTTCTTTTCTAATCTGCACACTTTTAGTTCTTTTTCTTGCCTTTCCAATTTAGCTACAGTTCCAATACTGTGTTGAATAAGAGTGGTGAGAGATGACATATTTGCCTTGTTTCTAAGCTTAGCAGAAAAACATTCAATCTTTACCCATTATGTATGATGTTAACTCTAGGTTGTTTGTACATGCTCTGTTTCAAGTTGAGAAAGTTACTCTTCTATTCCTGGTTTGCTGAGAACTTTTCCTAGGAATAGGTATATTTTAAAATGCTATTTCTCCATCAATTGATCTGATCGTATAATAGTCTGCTTTAGCCTGTTGATAAGGCGGGTTACATAGACTGGTTTTCCAATATTAAGCAGATCTTGCATATATGGAATAAATCTCATTGGTCATGGTTTGTAATTTTTTTTAATACACTGGTGGATTTTATTGGCTAATATTTTATTGAGAATTTTTGCATCTAGGTCATTAGAAATATTTGTTGCTTTCTCTTTTGGTACTGTCTTTGTATGGTTTTAGCATTAGGGTAATACTTGCCTCCTAAAATGAATTAGAAAGTGTTCCCTTTTCTTCTGTTTTTGGAAGAGATTGTAAAATTGGTGTTCATGTTTTCTTTAAGTGTTTGGTAGAATGCTCCAGTGAAATCAGCTGGGTGTGAGGATTCATTTGGGGGAGCTTCTTTATGGTAAATTCAGTGTCTTTTAAGAGTTACAGTAGTTTGAGGATTGTTTATTTCACCTTCATTACATTTTGGTAGTTTGTGGCTTTTGAGGAGTTGGTCTCTTTCTTCCAAATAGTCAAATTTAGAGAATAAAGTTGTTTATAGTTTTTCTTTATTATCATTTTAATGTCTGCAGATTCTGTAGTGAGAGTCTCTCATTTCAGTCTTGATGTTAATGGTTTATATCATCTCTCTTTTAATCTTTGTCAGTCCTGCTGGAAGTTTATCCATTTTATTGATTATTTTCCCCTAATAATGAGCATCATGTTTCATTAAGTTTCTCTGTTCTTTTCCTGATTTCATCAATTTCTGCTCTTATATTTACTTTTTCTTACCTTCTGCTTGTGTTAGGTTTATTTTGTTCTTCTCTCTCCATTTTTTTTTTTTTTTTTGAGGTGGGAACTTACATAGTTGATCTGAGATCTTCCCTCTTTCCTAATATTATCACTTAGTTTTATAAATTTCCCTCTCAGTAATGTTTTACCTGAATCCTACAGATCTTGGTACGTTGTATCTTCATTTTCATTCATTTCCAAGTAGTTTTTATATCCTTTGAGACTTAATCTTTGACCCACAGAATACTTAGAAGTATATTATTTAATTTCCAAGCGTTTGGAGATTTTCCTGCTATATTTATGTAATTGACTTCTACTTGATTCCACTGTGGTCAGAGAACATACTCTGCATGATTTCATTTCTGATAAATTTGTTAAAGTTTGTTTTATGGACCATGATGTTGAGTCTTGGCGAATGGTGCCTGAAAAAGTCTTAATTTCCTATTGGTGGGTGAAAGGTTTCATCTATGTAAATTAAATATTGTTGGCAGACTGTGTTGACCAGTTCTTCTACATCCTTTCTGATTTTCTGTCCAGTCGTTCATTTGTTACTTAGGAAGTGGTAAAGCCCTCAACTATAGTTGTGAATGTACTATTTTTTCCTTTCAGTTTGATTAGTTTTTGCTTCTTGACTTTTGAGGCTCCGTTGTTGGGTGTGTACACATTTAAAATCACATTTTCCTGGTGGTTTAATATCTTACCATTTTGTAATATACTTCTTGATACCGGTAATTTTACTTGCTGTGAAGTCTACTTTATCTGATATTAATACAGCCACTTCTGATTTTTAAAATTACTGCGTGCATGTGCATCAGTTTCCTAGAGCTGTTGTAATAAAATATCAAAATGAGGGCTTAAAATAACAATAATTTATTCTCTTATAGCTCTGGAAGCGAGAGGTCCAAAATCAAGAGGTCAGTAGGGCCATGTTCCCTCTGAAGGTTCTAGAACAATCTTTGTTTACCTCTCCCAAGTGTCTAGTGGCTCCTGGCAATCCTGGGCCTTCTGTGACTTATAACTGCATCATTCTAGCCTCCTTTGGCTTGTAGCTGCCTCCAATTTCATAAGGCCTTCTTCCCTGTCAGTCTATGTTCTGATCTCTTCTTTTAAGAACAGCTAGACATTGGAGTTAAGACCCAACCCACCCCAGTAAGACCTCATCTAACTAATTATATTTGCAAAGACCCTATTTCCAAATAAGGTCACATTCTGAGTTTCCCAGTAGATATGACTTTTTTGGGGGGAGTGGAGGGACACTATTCAAATCATTCTAAGATGATATTTTTTTCTCTTTTCAATTTCAACCTACTTATGTCATTGTGTTTGAAGTGAATTCCTTGTAGACAGCAAAATGGCAAAATGTGGTTGGTGTTTTGTTATCAGTTTGGCCAATCTCCCTCCTTTAACATATTCTCTTGCTCATCGCTTCTGAGATGCTAATGATAAGAATGTTGTATCTTTTATTGTCCCAAAGATCCCTGCGGCCTTTTTTTCCCATTCTGTTTTTTCTCTATTACTCTATCTTCAAGTTCACTGCCTTTCCTCTGTCATAGTCCTTCCACTCATGCATGGCTCTCTCCAGTTTGTTTTGCGTTTCAGTTATTGTATTTTTCAGTTCTGTCATTTCCATTTGGTTCCTTTACTTGTTGCATTTCTTTGCTAAGACTTCATTTTATCTGGTTGTTTTCAAGGGTATTTTGTAATTGCTTGTCGGTACATTTTTATGATGGCTGCTTTAAAATCCTTGTCAAATAATTCTAACATCTAAACCATCTCCATTTCAAAGACTATTTCAGAGTCTTTTCTCATTCCAGTTGTGTTTTTCCTGCTTCTTGGTACAATGAGTGATTTTCAGCTGTATTAGGATATTTTAGCTTTAGGTTAGGAGACCCCAGTTCCATTTAAACCTTCTATTTTAGCATCCGGGCACCCTGTTTGGGTTGAAGTTCTGACTTACATATATTTGCTGTGGTTCCCATGACAATTTAGTTTTCAGAATCTCTGTGGAGCTAATTGGAAATGCGTGGTTCACCTGGTGCCCCTGGGATTCCCATGGGCCCTTGCTCTATCACACAACCGGAGGAGGAGGTCGATTCTCTGGCCAGTTGTCAGCGGGGCTCTTGTTCTCCACCCTCTGCTGGTTCTGCCAGGCCAGCTGGTGTCTCTAGGTGAGAGATGAGGTTCTTTAGCCACAGGACAGAGAGCACTTTCCTGGGCCAGGCCATTCCCCCTGTAAGTGCCACCTAGTTGCCCAGTTTCTTTGGTAGGAGTGGGAGTCTCTGGCTTGTAGTGACAGAGAGCTCTTCATACTGGGTCACTTCTAAATTGAGTTTTAAAGATAACTATGACCTGAAAATTGTTAAGTAAAAGCACTGAAGGTTTTCCCAGGCTCATGGATTTCTACAAAAATATTGTTTCAAGTGAGATTTCATTAAGACTGACAGCAAAACACAGGGAGACACATACTCCACGGCAATCATACCAGAGAGCTTATGGAAAAATGAGTACTCACTTGAATAAGCTTGTCAATTAATTTCAAATCACTTATTACATACTGCCAGTTTGCCTCTGTTTTAGGAAGAGCTGCACTGATACAGCTGAAAGCAAAACCAAAGAGCAAAACATTTTGAATAAGCATAATCCAGGCTTGATGAATACTATAGGCAAAAGAGCAATCAAGATTTTCTTATTCTGATCAGTGAAAGGATAAGTGCTATCCTTGCCTTTGTGCATCCAACAGCTCTGTAGATGAATATAAACACCAAACATATAGTACAACCCCTTGATACTTTAGGCTAATTTAAGAACTGACCAACAGGGATTAGGGAAAAACTCAGTTTGGAAGGATAACTATAAATAACCTGGTGCAACTTATCACAATGGAAAACACACAGCACCTGATGTGTCATAGTGCTCAGTAAATGTTTTTGAATAAACTGCTGATTTTCTTTAAGTGGAAGATCCATCAGACTTTAAGTGTATTCAATAGGTGCAATTCTTTTTTATTATTTTTTAATGTTTATTTATTATTTAGAGACAGAGAGAAACAGGACATGAGCAGAGGAGGGGCAGAGAGAGAGGGAGACACAGAATTCGAAGCAGGCTCCAGGCTCTGAGCTGGAGCCTGACACGGGACTCCAACTCACAAACTGCGAGATCATGACCTGAGCCAAAGTCGGATGCTTAACCAACTGAGCCACCCAGGAGCCCGAGGTGCAATTCTTAAAATAAGCAATCATCGTTTTCATGGAATTACTTTGATAGTAAATATTCTTTACCATAGATTCAACATGCACCTTGCACATTGCTCACGCTATGACTATGCTTGCACTAGCTTTCTTCATAAATATTACAGACTTATGCCAAATCTAGTCTTGAGTGATCCTATACTTACTCATTTTGGTAAAACTGAAATTTAACATCAGGACAAAAGACTCATCATACACTGACCAAGTGACTGCGGAATGAGTCTTCAAGCTCCAGGAACCACTAGCTGTCCCTGATGGATCTTGTACAGAAGCAAGATAGCCAACATGAATCTTTCCTGAAAGCGAGATGAACTACCCACATCCACGGCTCCTCACACCAGGAGGGCGTTAGTAGGGGAAAGTGAGCTGAGAGTCATATTACATAACTACAGGTTGGGTGCTTTGGGCCAACTGTGTACAGTGTGTTAGCTGCATCTAAGAGAGAAGAAAAATAAGCACAGAAATGTCTGAGTGTTTACGAGGACGAAAGTCAGAAGGCCTAAATAAAGAAATGTTTCAAATTGAAGGAGGATAAGACTCAAAGGACAGGAGACATCAGTGCCAGGGATAGATAACAAAGTAACATGGACATGCCCTACGTATCTATTTTTTACTGTTGTGAAAATCATGTAAGATGTTAATACGGAATGTACTTCCAAGTTTAGGTAAATATTAAGAGGTCCAATTTATTGGAAGCATATAATACTCATCTGGGATATTATCAGAATGTAGAAATGTTCAACTGGGTGTTTACCAAACCTCTTCTTAGTGTTCAAGATCTGCCCTCTACCATTACCCAAATACTTAGAGCCTAACGATTTAAGCGAACTGAACACAAACCAATTTAATAGAGAAGATACTGAAGAACAAAGATCATAGCCATTAACATAATAATACTTATGCTGAATGATAAAATTACCCCAAAATGAAGACATGAATGCAAGCTTCAGTTAAAAAATGGCTGTTCAGAAGTAAACACAAGTAGCACTGGATGGAAGTACTTCTCAAATATGGTTTCTGAAAAATAGAATCATACACAAAGTGGTTAAAACATTTTTAGGTAAAAAATGATATACATTTAAAGTAATATTTTATCATATTTTAGGTTACAGAAGGTAAATTGGTCAAAATGTTAGAATTAATGCTCTTTATTAGAATTAATGAAGCTAGAATTTCTCTTTCCTGCTTTCTCCCCACCTCCAGCTCTGTCTTCTATGTGCAAAATTCTTTAATATATGTTTTTCCAGATGCATTTCAATGATGATCATTTTAAGAAAATTCTTGTATTTACTAATTTACATATATACTAATATCACTACTTTATTTCTATTATCCTTATTCTCACTCTCATCTTTTGTTTACTTTTTAACAGTTCAACATACATAATTTTTGGTTTGCCCTTAATTCTCTATGGCATGTTCTTTTTTTTAAATTTAGGTGTCAGTGACAATAGTTATAGACCTAACTAAAGATACTCCATGCCATCCTAACAGATGATTTATAATCATTTTTCTTGGTGATTTAGAGAAAGATATATAAATATTCATCTTAGAACTTCTCAGAGTTTTGATACTTTTGCCTGCCTCTCTCACAGTGTCAACGCCTTTACAGTTTAGGAGAGCCCTTGAACCACTAAGAATCTGTGCTTCATAGAGTCTACACTGAGAGGATGAATAATACCAAGACCTTGCCATCAAAGACTACACAATTCATTGAGTAGAGGAAAATTCAAAGAACCAAATAGGGTGAGAAAAGTGAAATGATACATTTACAATGGCATGAAGAGCCCATCTGGGTGTTAACAGATTTCAAACACCTATTCCATTGACTTTCAAAATAAGAAGAGTCCACACATGAACAGACACCTAGGACACCCCAAGATCTTTGGGGAATTGTCATATAACTTATTATGAAGTATCTGAGATTCAAGTGATCTTTTTGAAAAGTCCATATACTATCTCTATCTAATTTCTCTTACCGAAATTCTCATTACTCAATGCCAGGATAAATCCTTAAGTGTTGAAGAAGAGCTGGTTATGACAGTGGGTTTCCAACAGCCATCCATCCAGAATACTTCCTACAATACAATCCAGGGTTAGGAATGATCCATTAAAAACACAAGTGGACTAGTGGGGGAAAGAAAGAAAGGAAATTAATATTCACTGAGCACTCACATTTTCGTGGGTACTTATCAGTCACTTAATATATACACCACCATCAATCCTCACAACAGCGCTATGGGGTGGGGTTAGCAGCATCTGGGAAAGCTGCCCAGGCCCCACAGCAAGTCCAAGACAGTCAGGATTTGAGACCAGGTCTGTCTGATGACAAAGCCCAAACACATTCCACTATAGTATGTGCTCGAATTGGCAAACTCCAAAGTTGCATATTTACTTAGTAACCAGTAGAAGTCACCAAATACCTGGCTTCATATAAACTGCTGTTAATTTAATTTACAACAGATGTATCTACTTCTACAGACATTGAACAGCTGTTTTCAGTCTTTGAAATAAATCAGAGTTAATTGAAACGTTATTTGAGAATTTCATAAGTAACAAATTCTATTTTTTCTAATTCAAGGCAATGAAGAATGTGAGGTTTACACAGTCCCATATTCAACTCCATTTTATTAAAGTAAAAATTAAAACCAAGATATATAAAATATAAACAATTATTTTTGCCATCCTTTAAAAATAGTATGTATTTGTTGACTTAATCTGTCATGCCCCTGACATAAATATTCACTGCACTTAAATTTTGTAAACTCAATTAATTAAATTATTTTATTTTTCAGATGACTGTTTTATGATATATGATGTATAAATCTTTATTTATTTAATGTTTTATTTATTTTTGAGAAAGAGAGAGCACACGCATGAGCAGGGAAGGGGCAGAGAGAGAGAGGGAGACAGAAGATCCAAATCAGGCTCCAGGCTCTGTGCTGACAGCAGAGAGCCTGATAAGGGACTTGAACTCATGAACCGTGAGATCATGACCTGAGCCAAAGTTGGACACTCAACCGACTAAGCCACCCAGACACCCCTGATGTATAAATCTTTAAAACAAAAACTAGCATTTATCTCGCTGTTAAATAAGACTATGTGAGAGTACATTCAACAGGAATGCCTTTCTTTCAATAATAACATAGTAAATTGAATCCTTCTGTTGTAAATTGAATCCTTCTGTTACATATGACCTGAATCATATGTATGATTTTAGTTGAAGCAAACTGCTTATTCCTCTCATGTAATAATCATTCTCTTTGTCTATATTATCTCAATGCTTCAAATGTTTACAAAACTTCATAATCATCGAAAGCCTCTTAAATTCCCTCCATCTTTTTGAGGAGTGGTATCCCAAACTTTACATTGTTCATGTAACAGTATTTATTGACTTGGGACTGAGCGGTACTGAGGGGGACAGAGGTGTTAATGAGGCCTGAATGAAGCTACTTCAGTAAGCAACGAGGACTTCACTTCTGGGCTAGTGTGGCAGTGAGCCTCCACGCATGCAGGCTGTCAGGCTCTTACTAGTGTCCAGTGGACTTGGACTGCCTGGCCCAACCACCTCCAGCTGGCGTAGGTCAAGGAAGACTAAGAATGGTGCCCAGAATGCTCCCGCCAAGCATGGTGGAATGCAGCAGAAAACCACCTCCAAAGCTTCAAGTGGAATCATAATGATAGAGGCCAATGGAGCTGAAAAGGAAAGTTTTACAACTTTGCCACCAACAAAAGACCTGATGTGGTTTCCTAGGCTAACAGCAAGGAATCTGGCTTTCATAGCAGCTTTGGAAGCATTCAACCTGCCACTTAGTAGTTCTGTGGGCCAGTAATTTTATTAAAATATGTGTGAGTGCAAGCGTGCATGTGTGTGGGTCAAACATCAGTGTGGATCTTTAAAACTGAAAAGGTAAAATACTCTATTCCTTTCTCTTTAGCCAGGACTCAATGTTAACTATTAAATAATTAATATTAATGATGGTAATATCATAATACATATTGTTACTTGGTGCTTTCAGGTTTATAAAATTATTTCCTATAAAGTACTACATTCCATCCTGGAAATATCATATAGTGAGAGATATAACTCTTATTTTACAGTGACAAAATTGCGCTTCTGAGAGGTTAAATGACTTGCTTCGGGTAAATGTCATGCATGTGGCCATGAAAATTTACCTCACAATCCAAACTGGGCAGAAGGAGGAGGGATGCAAGACATTGAGAAGTGTAAGCCCCTTAACATAGGAAGTAGCTGGGGCACCTGGGTGGCTCGGATGGTTAAGTGCCTGACTTGGTTTTGGCTCAAGTTATGATCTTGGTGGTTCGTGGATTCAAGTCCCACATCCAGCTCTGTACTGGCAGCATAGAGCCTGCTTGGAATTCTCTCTCTCCCTTTCTCTTTGCCCCTTCCCTGCTCTCTCTCTCAAAATCAATAAGTAAACATAAAAAATAATATAAATAATTATATATATAATATATTAAATATATTAAATACTATTAAATATAATAATATTATATTTATAATAATAAAAATACATATGTGAATATATATACATGTGAATAATAAAAAGCCACTGCTCTCTGACAGTTTATAAACAAGTCTTTCACATTTCTTGTGTAAAACAGAACTCAAGCTCTTCCACATCCATTATCCCATGAGATTCTCATAAAACACTTGTTAGAAGTGGCTGAAACCCAGTTAATTACTTTCTGAGACATCAAGTAAATTATCCACTTGCCTTTATGTCATATTGTTGGAGAACTAGGAAAGCAGTGTTTAATCCTGGCATACTCACTGCATACGGTCATGAAATGCCCTCACAATCAGCGTCTTTGGTTTGTCCTTCATTCAACTGGGTGTGTGAATTCAGGAATTAAAAATAAAAAAAGACTAAATCCCAGCCCTACATTCAAGTTGCTCACAAAGTTTGAGCAGGAATTTTTTTGTGATCTTGTGATTGGGTGTCACTGCAGGGTGGCTGTTTTGCCATGCTAGCAGAATGGCACTGCCCAGGGGTAAGACACTGGGAAGAGCTAACAAACCAACACAGTTGGGCAGCTCTAAGAGCTCTAGTTCTGGATCGACTTGTAGAAAATAACTGTGCACATCTTGCATTCCATACCAATATTGTCATCCTTCCTGGTGAGGAAATACGACCTAACACACTGCCATTTTGTCTTGTTTCATTCTGTTTAATTATTTACTCACCTCGTCACACATATAAAGTAAATTTTAAAAGGCTTAGCACACAAGAAAAGCTGTAAGTATTGGTTAATTTGGTAAACACACTAATCTATTCACTCAAAAAAAGTCTGAAAATGAGGGCGAACCAATGTTGCATGTATATGTGGAATATAAAGAATGGAAGACAGCATTGCTGCCCCTTACTCATCCAGTAAATATTTATTGAGCAGTTACTATGTGCTAGGCACTTCTCTATGACCTTGGGGTGCAACCTTGATTTTAGGGAGAAAGAGACCATTTATAAACACATGAACTAGTTAATAATATATTTTATTAGAGAGAGGTAAGTGATATAGGAAAATGAAAACACAAACTAAGGCAAGAAGGATGTGGTCACGATTCTGAGTAGGTGGTCAGAAGAGACTTCAGAGAGATTAAAATCCGATCAAAGATGTAGGGGCACCTGGGTGGCTCAGTCGGTTGAGCCTCCAACTCCAGCTCAGGTCATGATCTCGTGGTCATGAGTTCAGGCCCCACGTTCAGGCCTGCTTCAGATTCTACGTCTCCCTTTATCTCTTTCCCTCCCCCACTCATGCTGTCTCTCAAAAAAATGAATAAATGTTTAAAAAAAAAGAAAGAAAGAAAATCAGATCAAGGAGGTAAAGGCAGGAAGGGAATGCACCCTAATACACCTGAGTAAAGAGCATTCAAAATGCAGGGAGCACAGGCACATTGGCAGCTGCATGTCAGTGAGTCTGAGGATCAAAAAAGAGGCTGAGAGAGTGAGCAAGGCGTATTCTGAGTATAGTCTGAGATGGGGTCAGAAAGGGAGACAGGCAGGGGAGGCTCAGATTGGGCCCTTTCAGCCATTATAAGGGTCTGAAGTGAGAAATCACTGCAGCATTTTCAGAAGATAATTAATACCATGTGAATGACATTAAAAAACATCTGTCTTGGTCCCTGTGTTAAGTACAGTCAAGGATGGAGGCAGAGGTCCTGGGACTATGGGAATGCCGGCGAGACACAGTGGTGGCTGCAGTGTGGCAGGTGGCAGTGGGGACAGGGACATGTATGTGGAGTCTGGACACATTGATACGACAGAACCGAAAGGATTTCCTGACAAACGGGATGCAGGCCGTAGGGGAACGAAACACTCCCAAGTCTTTTGCCCCGAGCACCTGAAATCTGAAGCTGCCATCAACTGAAACAAGACGGACTGTGGGCGGAACGGATGCTCTGAAAGGAGGGCACAGATCGGGAGTTTCATTTTGGACACGTGGAGTTTGTGAGAGGCCTCCTGCACAGCCACACAGAAATGGCAAACAAGCCATTGGATGTAAGAATCTGGCATCTTTTGGATGCAAGAGTTCAGGAAAGTGGTTTGAGCCTGAAATTGATATGGGATTCATGATGCTGGTGGAGTTCACCAAGGGAAGGTAGAGAAGAGGACCGAATCTGAGCAAAGGTTTTTTAATATTAATTAGTCGGGGTGGGGGTGGGGAGGAAGGACCAGCGAAGAAAATCTCAAAGGGAAAAGGGAAAGAGTGAAAGGGGGAAAAGGGAGAGAGTGAGATGTTCTAGAAATCAAGGAGAATTATATCCAGGAAAAGAAATGATGATCACATCAAAGGTGCTGAGAGGTCAAGGATGACACAGACTGAGCCCTGACCAGGGAGCTTGTAACCTGGGGGTCACGGGTGACTCTGACAAAAGCACTCTCAGTGGAGCAATGGAGACAGAAGCCTGCCTGAAAAGGGCTGAGGAGAAGGAGGAAGGAAAGAATTTATGAAATGCTAACTATAGTCAATGTTTTGTCGAATACTGCTCCAAAAGGGAGAAAGAAAAGATGGTGGTACTAGGTATTAGAAGGTAAAGGTGTGCTGAGGGAAAAAT